TCTGGCTCTGTAGTGTGTGAGTGGTTTACTGTTGCTCCCTCATTGGGTTGTGTTTGATTGCTGCTTTGTAATGTGCACTCTCTCTCTCTCTCTCTGTGTGTGTGTATGTGGTGCCCTCCACCTTGTGTGTTAAATGTGCGTCTCTTTTCTCCTTTTCCTCTTCTTCCTTGTTACCACAGACCCAAGCAACCCACAGTGATAATCATGACAACAATGTTCGTCCAACTGCTCCGCGTGGTGTACCTGTTGGTACTTCTGCACTTCTGTACGTGTGTGGCATATGCGCAAAATGCGAAAGAATCTGCAGAAGACGTATTAAGCAAGGAAAAAAGATTAAGGGAGATTGAAGATCATCTTAATGCCACACGTAATAACACATTTATTAACTTACGAAAATTTAGGCGTGAAAGGAAATTATTCAGTAAGAATACTGAACTTGCCAAATTTGCTGCAGAAGAAGCCGATAATATTTGCCAACAGATTGAAACTGTGATAAAGAAGAAAAGAACGGCTACTCTGAATGTAAGCGATCTCGCTGGGAATCTAACTGAAGGGTTGCTGAAGAATGCTACAGATGCAGTGCAAAAAGTCAAAAATGCTGTTGGCGATATGAGAGGATCAGCGTCCACGCTAAGGGAGTTGGGCAATTCTTTTTATGAGGCGTATGACAATTTAAGCAGTTTAATATGGGCTCATAAGCCTGCGTTGGAGAGATATTTAATTGCAATTAATGATACAAAAGAGCAGGAAGTCAACATGACCAAACAAAAGATGGTCGCTCGAAAGAGCGAGAGGAAACGGAAAAAGGCAGAGACACTCAAGGAGCGTGCCATTCACGCCGGTAAACAGTGTTTTCAGTTTGAGAGGGAGGCGAATTCGCAAGCTGTAAGTGCGGAAAACAAAATGAGAAAGCTTGAAAATCTTATACATCGGGTCGAAGCTCTCTTTCAAATAAGTTCTAAAACCACGTCAAAGGTACCAGAGAATGATTCGCAAGAAGTAAGAGAGATTCGAACTCCTGAAGAAGTGACCAAAGCGCCCGAAGTGACCGAAGAACCCGCAGTGACCAACGCCGCCGAAGAACCCAAAGTTCCCGAAGTACGCGACGTGACTGAAGAACCCGAAGTGACCGAAGAAACTAAAGTGACCGAGGTGACCACC